GGGGCGCGCTTGGGTTGGGCTGTTCCCTAGCGGGCTTGGGGCTTCAGGGTGAGGTGGGCGTGGGGAGGGGCGCCCGTCAGGCACGCATGGGGTGCGGCTGCAGCCCACGCCTCGGGAAAGGCCCAGGGGCCTGCGAAGAGCTAGTGCCAGGAACGTGGCTTGACCTGCGAGCGTCGGAGGGGCGGGAAGACGGTGGGCTGGAGCCGCCCGGGACTCCTCCTTCAAGCCGCAGATTAGAGTCCCGAGGCACTGCGGGCAGCCGCGGTCCGGATGGGGGCAGTGGGAGCAACAAAGAGTCCGCCACGGTGGCGTCTAGTCTCTCACGCTGGTCCTTGCTAACCTGCGCAACCCCTGCAAAGAGGCGCGGAGTGCGCCCCTTGTGGCTCAGGCCGAGATGCCAAGCCTGAGGAGGTGGAGGACCCCCATCCCTAAGCCTAGCTCCATGTCCAGAGGGCTGCGCATCGCTCAGCACAGGTGGCATAGGGACACGTGGCGACTCCCTGATCAGCTCAATGTCAGTTCTCCAGTCCTGTGCCCGGTGCTGAGGATACAGGGCAGTGATGGAGACACTCTCAGCCTTCCCCTGGAATACAGACATTAAAAAAACGAGAAAATGGGTGCATTAGGGTAAGCAGGGCCAGCAAGACAGCTCAACAGACTAAGCACCTGCCTAGGCAAAGGAAGGGGCAAGGGTTCGATTCCCGGCACCACGTGGTGCGGTGCTGGCCCCGCCTCAGAATGCGCTGAGCCAGCCACCCAGACCCAGCTTGATAATGCATGCCTGTAATCCTAGCGCTGGGGAGGCTGAGACAGGAGGATAACTACGAGTCTGAGCTGTGTGTGACCCAGTACCAAATAAAGATAAAATTAAGGGCCGGTGAGATAGCTCAGTGAACTAAGCGCCTGCTTAGGCAAGCGCAGAGACAAGGATTGGATCCTCTGCACCACATGCTGTGTCCACCCCGCCCCTGGGCACACTGCTCCAGCGTGGTGGCGCATGGCTATAGTCCCAATGCTTAGGAGGCTGAGCCAGGAAGATCACTACGAGTCCAAGCTGCATAGTGAGACCCTGTTCCAAATACATTTTTAAAAAAGGAGAGAATAAGAGGGTACAAACTGTATGTGGGTAGGAAGACAAGAAGCAGCACTTAAGCTGAGCCCTGAAAGGTATGAAACAAACAACTATATAAAGAACCAAAGAAAAGCTCTCCAAGGGGAGGGAACAAAATTTTGGTGGTGTGGAACTAGAAGGTTGTGGGCATGTGGAGAGCTGGGGAGAGTAGCACAGTGTAAGGCTGAAGGAGTTGGCAGGGACCAGATTGCGGACAGCCTTCTCACATCAGTGAGAGGCCTTTGAATGAGTGGCTTGATCCTCGAGCATGACACTGTTTGGATTTATCGCATTAGTACAGTCTTCCACTCTTACTCAGACTTCTCATTATACTTGTACTCATTTGCATGTGCCTGTGTATTTGTTCTTTTACAATTTGATCACATGTTATAGGCACCTGTAGCCCCCACAAGGGTCAATATACAAAACATTTTCATCATTCCTAGAATCCCCCCCTGTTGCTCGCATGGCAACCACAGTCCTAGTGCCCCAGCCCTTCCCTTGCCAACCACTAATCTGTCCTCCATTTCTATAATTCTGACATTTCAAGAATATTATGTAAGTGAATAATAAAGTTCATTGGCCCCTCAGTATCCATGCAGGATTGGTTCCAGGAATCCTCTTTGGATACCAAAATCTACCAGTGCTCAAATCATCATATAAAATGGCATGGTATTTGTAAATAACCTACATATATCTTCCACACTGTGTCTCTAGATTGTTATACCTGATATGAAGATAGTTGTTATACTCTACTGCATGCAGAATAATGACCAGAAATAATGCATACATGTTCAATACAGTTTTTGCAAGTATTTTGGTTGGTGTTTGGCTCCATCCACAGATACAAAGAACCAACTGTACTCATTCTGAGATTGGTTTTTCTTCACTGGGCTTGATTTCCCTGCGAGTCATCCAAATTGTTATATGTGTCCTTAGTTCATTCTTATTTCTGTGTAATATTCCAGATCACATTTATCTATTTAAAAGACTACCTGCTACAGTGTGAGGAATGGTTCAGAGATAAGAACCAAAACAAGAGGCTAGTTAAATCCCAATACTCCCTGTGAGAGCTGAAGATAGCGCCAATCGAGGCTGCCAATGGAGGAAAGTGGAAGGATTTGGTGAAACAGGTCTGATGAAGGAATTGGGCTTGACTTAGAGACACCACAGGGTAGACAGTTATTTTTGAGACTTTTCCTTCTAGAGAGGCACAGAAATCCAGCGGAACCAGAAGGGCAAGTAGAGAAACAGGAAGGTTCCTTTCTCTGAGTTTGAAAAGATGGAAGTGTTTGTGAACAGTTTAGGGACGATCAGTGGGGAGAGGCAGGCATGAGAGAAGGTTTTAATAAAGGAGTCCAGTCCCTAAACAGAATGAGAGCTTTATTCAAGATGAGGATTGGAGACCTCATCTGGTGGTGCTCATCTGTAATTTCAGCACTTGGGAGGGTAAAGCAGGAAGATCACTGTGAGGTTGAGGTCGGCCTGGGCTATGTAGTGAGCTCAAGGCCAGTCTGAACTGCATAATGAAATTCTGTCTCTTTAAAAAAAATAAAAGGAGAGGATTGGCCCTTACTCTATACAAGGCCTTCTCCACTGTGAGGAAGGCCATAGAAATCAAAGCTGATGAGAGCTGGAAGGCAGCGAAGCAGTAGATTTAGATCAAGCAAATACAGCGGAGGCAGACGACTCCTTTTCCCAATTTTCACTAACTGGATGGTGACCGCACTTACCAGATAGCTGGTGGCAGAAGCCCCTGCAGTCTTCTTCTCTCCCTTAGCACCCAGGGCCTAGGCCTTCTGTTTTCCCACTTGGAGCCCTCAGAAATTCTGATGTTAGGCCTCTCTGTATGACAAGAGAAGCCATCTCACACATTGCTTAGGAAGAGGAAAAGCTGGTTTTCCCTACCCCATCATGTGAAAGCACTGAACCATCAGGCAACTCCCCTAAAAATAGACCATGACCCCAGCCCGAAAATGGCCAAGACATACCCCATATGGAAGGCTCTGGTCAGAGGAACCTCTGCCAGGGGCACTTCCGGTTATCCATTGGCAGTCAGTCAGTACGCCTTGTGATTTATTCTTCCAAAGACCCCTTCCTTTCTCCCCCTCCTTTTCTATCCTTTCTTCTTTCTTCCTCCTCCCCCACTTCTCTTCTCCACCCCTTCCTTTCTTATTTCTTCCCTGCCTCCCTCACTTCTTTCCTCCTTTCTTTCCTTTTGCAGAAAATCAAAAAGTTTTCACTAGGCACAAAGTAAACTAACCCAACTCCCACATGGCCATTTGGTCTGCACTTAAGGCCAGCCCTGTCTGCCTCTTAACACTTCATTTGGAGTGGAACTCAACTTCTGGAAGTCACAGAAACACATCGTTCTGCTTAAAGCATGTAAGGGACGATGGTGTATGTTGCTGAGTAAGCAAAATAGATCAAAGGAAAGGGGATGCTCAGTTTGCGAACTTATGTGCTACATTTTCATAATATTTTCAGCATTAAGAAACAAAAAGAATGGGGGCCGGCCAAATAGCTCAGCGGATTAAAGCGCCTACAAGCAGGTGCAGGGACCAGGAGTTCAATCCCCAGGACTGCAGTGCCAGACCCCCCCCCCCAGAGCCCACTGAGATGGCAATTGAGACTGGGCATGGTGGTGTGCACCTGTAATCCCAGCTCTCGGGAGGCTGTAAATAGGAGGATCACTATGAGTGTGATCTAGTAGTGAGACCCTGAACACCCTGTAGACCCTTCCCTAAAATACAAAAAAAAAAGAAAGAAAAAAACTAGGTGTGGTAGCACACACCTGTAATTCCAGCACATGAGAGGCTGAGGCAAGAGGATCTCTACAAGTTCAAGGCCAATCTGGACTACAAAATGAGTTCAAGGCCAGCCTATGCTGCATACAGAAGCCCAGTCTCAAAAAAGAACAACAACAAATACCAGAAATTAAGTAGACTGAAAGTAAATAATGTGTGCTTATATCTGATCATTTCAGTTTCGGTTTATTTGAGTAAGGAAACAGACATGAGGAAAAGTTTTCAGCTTCAATAGAATTTAAAACATCCTTGAGAGGAAATCCAGAACGCTTGTCAGCACACAAAGTAATCAAGTCCTTTGTCATCTCCTCAAGCAGTACCTCTAGCACTAGTAATTGTAAGTTATTGAAAATATATTACGTAGCAGTTTACGTGCACATTTTGTTTACTCTCAAGTTAGATCCCATTATTCCCACATTACAGATAAGGACACTAAGTATTCCTAAAGGATATTCCTAAGGATTACTGAAGAAGCTAAGCAATTTTGGATTCAGGATTAAAATCAACACACCTATAATATTCAACAA